CTATATTAGAAATGTTTTATGTCAAAACATAAAACGCATAGCTTCTTAATATTATTATTTAAGTATGTTACTTTTTCACTTACTCCATATTTCATGTGGTGTAATTTTTGAACATTATTTTCCAGTTCTTTTTCACTTATTTTTATTATTATTATAAAAATCTATTATATAATTTTATATATTTGAAAATTTTTGTCAAAACATAAAAGGCACAAGCAACTTCTTAACATTATTATCTCGGTACATATTCACTTGCTTACATCACCTTTTATTACACTTCTTGGGCTTCATTTCTTACCATAATCTTCATATTTTATCATTATATGCATTTTTATCTTATATTGGCTTTAATTTTCTCTCTCCATATTAATAATTTATTGCTTCTTTAACCTACCTTATGTTTCGCTATAATTTTTTTATCACCAAATCTTTTCTTCTATATTCTTTTTTTTTTTTTTAATCTTAGATAGCACAATGGAAAGCAACTTTTTCCGCTCCCTTAACCCACCCTTTTCTCTTACTATGCGACTCAAATTTAAAACCTTTTACTTCTAATGAAAAAATATTATTATTAAGTTACTTAAGTTGTTGATAATTATATTATTCTTTCTAAGTCACTCTTTGTATCTCCGGTTATCATTATATATCTTTTTTTGTTCTAATTTCCTTCTCTCTCATTGTCCATATTAGAAATGTTTTAGGTTAAGACAATGGCTACAACTTCCTTTCACTTACCTTTATGCCTCAAGGGTCAAAGTACCTCTTGTACTTCTTCAAAAGTTATTTTCAACTATTAACATCATAATCCTACTTTTGATTCTCTTTTTCTATATTTTTTCCCTTTTTCTAATAGGAGAAATGCAATATTAATAGTTTAATAAAAATCTTAACAAAACTTCAATACAAAATTTACCAACTTTTCTTATAGTACTTGATAAGTTGAATTATTGTTCATAATATGACGCTATTTAAACCTTGATTTTATTATTATTTGAATGGATTTAATATGATTTTACTCAATTTTCCATTATTTTTATTATTTGTGTAGAATAGGACTTAACGTTTAAAAATCATAAATTTGGAACTAAATAATTATGTTTCACAAAGTAAAAGAATGAACAAACAGATGAAATTAAGGACCAAAATGTAGAATTCTAAAATTGACCAAATCATAAAATTCTGGAATTTAAGGACCGAAGTGTTAAATTTTTAAAAATCAGGGACTAACACTATAATATTACCATTGAAAAAAGAAACAAAAGTTAACAATGGAATTATGTGTCTGGCGGGCGGCAGCTCTTCTCGCTTACTTTTTTCCTTCTCTCTGTTTATCTATATAATTGTAGCCCTATTATTATATAATTAGAAATATATTAAAAAAATATTATATCAACTCCTATAACAAGAAAGTGAGAATAAAATTAATGAGAAATTAAATTCTATTCATGTTGGATTTGTGTTACTTTCAATATGTATAGATTTTTTAAAAAACTTAAGATTATTTATTAAAGATTTTTTAAAGTTTAATTGGCATTTATTTAAGTACTTTAAGAGAAATTTTGTTATTATAACAATCTTATATATAATTAAGATTAAGGGCTTGTTTGGTACAACATTTAAAATTCAACGGATAATAAATAGTGAGTAACGGATAACGAATAGCAATAGCGGGTTACGATTAACAGATAGTGGATGACAAATAGCACTAAAGTGAGTAATGGATGTTAAATAGCAAATTCGATAAATATAACTGTTATTAACAGTTTTTATTTAACACTAAATGACTAATAAAAACATGTTTAAAAA